GTGCGGGGTGCAGCACCGCCCCTGGAGGGACCTGCAGGGGCTCGGGCGCCCTGAGGGCTGGCCCGGGCCCCGCCGGCGCACTGGGCCTGGGGAGAGCAGCCCAGCAGGAGCCGGGAGCCTGGCATCAAAGGAGTCTGGGTCGGTGTGGCGGCTACCCGGGCCCTGGCAGCGCTCTCGTGGACTCCAGCTGCTTGGAGGGGCTGGGGGAGGGTTGTCTGGGCCCCATCGGTGACCCACGGCGGTGCTGGGGGATGTGGTCGTTCAGGGGAGATGTCAGAAGGGGCCTGGCCCCAGGCCTCACACTTGCGCGATGAGCCCAGCGTGGGGTGAGCGCTGCTGGGGCAGGCTGCGGGAGCCGGCCCAGGGGTGGATGTATGAGCCCCACCCTGTGTGGGCCTCCGCCCCGCTGGTGCCTCGTAGTCCAAGGCGGGCGGCCCGATGCCCCTGGCATTCCCAGTGCTCCTGCTGGCTGACCTGCTTCCTCATCTCAGCTGGGACTGGGGCCAGAGCCAAACCCTCTGCCTTTCCCAGGCCCGGCTGGGCACCAGTCCTGGCAGCGCCCTCGCGCCCTGCATCACATGCAGCAGCCTGGCCCTGGCGGGCGTGACCGCTGGCTCTGTCGGGGCTGGGAGCCAGGTGCAGGTGTCTTGGGAGCGGCGCCAGGTCCAGGCAGGAGGCGACTGCTGGGCAGAAGCTGCCAGACGGGTTCGTGCGCGGTGCCCATTACGGAGCGTTGTTTGTTTCTCAGGAGCGTGGGGCTGAGCCAGGGTGGCTTCCTGGGGTGCCACTGGGGCCGTGGGCATGGGCTGCACGGGGCTGGCCCTGGGATCCCTGCACCAGGGGCAGCGACTCCTCCACTGGCAGGAGCGTGGAGGAGACCAGCGGGAAAGGGAGAGTCCCTGCTCCCTCGACCGCCTCCTGGAGTAACAAGGACTATTGGCCACAAGCTGCCTGAGAGCAGGTTCGGGCTAGGCGTGACTTCACGGTCAGGGTGGCCAGGATCTGGAACCAGCTTCCAAGGGAAGTGGTGATGGCTCCCACCCTGGGGGGCTTCAAATGGAGGCTCGACGTTTACCTGGCTGGGGCCGTTTGAGCCCAGTTCTCTCTCCTGCCCAGGCCGGGGGGTCGGACTTGAAGATCTACAAGGTCCCCTCTGACCCGACTTCTATGAATCGTGGCAGGCCCTGGTTACCGGCAGCCCCTGGGGCCAGCTGTGTGAACCGGGGGCACGTGTGCTGCGCTGGTCCGGCTGGGCAGGGGCCGCTGTGGCCCCGGGAGGTCTGAGGGCTGCGGCACTTGACGTGTGGTCGCGGCTCAGGCAGGGATGCGCCCACGCGCTGCACGGCTGCCTGGCAGCATCCCCGTTGCCACGGGAACCTTTGCTTCTGTCTCACCAAACCTGACAGTGTTGCCAGGCTGCTCAGGGCACTGCTCTGGTAGGACATGGGGGGGGAGCTGGACTCCTGCCTTCTTTCCCTGGCTCGGCTGCAGCTGTGACCCCTTGGTCTTACTTCCCCACCTGCACGGCGGGGCCCAGACCCTGGGCTGTGCCTGCCAGACCTGGGCGCTGGGGGTGGAGCCGGGGCTGGGCCTGCTGGACGCGGTGCGGGGCATGTGCAGGGTCTCAGCCCCGTGGAGCAGGCTTATCCGCCGCTCGCCCGCACTGCTGGCTTCCTCAGAGTTTCCTTCGGTGGGAGCGCGGCCGGGCGGTGCCTGCAGCCTGGACACCTGCTCAGGAAATAGCCTCATCCTGTCCCGGCCTCCGGCTCCCCCCGCCCGGCCTCACTTGTGTGTGGCGCTGGGCTGGGACAGTGACTGTGCCCTGACTTCCTCTCCCACAGCAAGGGCAGGCTGATGAGCGAGGAGGGAGCGAGACATCAGGTGTCCTGGGTGGGAGCTGCTGCCAACTCGCTCTGCCCCCGGGGGGGCCTGCGTCTCAGTGGGTGTGGGGGCAGCAGGGGCCGGATGGCTCTGAAGGAGCTGGGTGGGACCTGGCCTCACCCTGGGGCAGGGCTTGCAGCTGGCAGAACTGTGGTGGGCCCCGGGCTTGTTGCAGAGAGCTCTGCTCCTGTCCTGGGGCGCTGGGCACCATGCCCTGCTGGCAGGGCTGGGCCCCTGCCCCGTGGTGCGGCCAGGCCCTGCCTGCAGCACGTCCCGAGGGACGCCCGCTGCTCTGGGGCTCTGCTGCGCCGTGGCCCTGGACCGCAGATGCAGCAGCCCGCCCCACGGCTGGTCTCAGGACCCCTCTGAGTGGAGGTGGCTGCAGGCACGCCTGGCCAGCTGCCGCGGGCCTGCGTGGGGCAGGGCAGGTGCTCACGTGGACCGAGCGGGCGATGCCGGCTCTGGAACCTGCCTGCCTGGCTGGGCGGTAGGTGTTTATTTTGGTTTCCTCCCTATGCCTTGGGCAGGGGCAGGGGTGGGAGGTGGGGCTGGGTGCAGGGGGAGCTGGTCCGCCCGGGCGGGTGGCGGCAAGGCAGGTCGGCTGCAGCCGGCGTCGCGCTGCCTCCTGGTGCACTGCTCTCGGGCCCGACTGGCTGCCTGGGAAGAGCAGGTGGGTGGCAGGGGACCCCTCCAGGGGCTGCAGGAAGGCACTGCCTTGGCTCTCTGGGCTGGAGGGTGCTGGCAGAGCTGCTCCGTGGGGCTCCCGGCCAGCAAGGCAGGGGCCTGGGGCCTGAGCCCCCCAGAGCCTGGACACTGGCCCTCGCTGACCTCTGCTCCTCTGCCCGCAGGGCTGGCATCCCACACCTTGCTGATTCTCCATGGCAACAGCACAGGCCCCTCATGTGACCTGTGCGCCTGGCAGTGGCTTCCTGGACCCTCGCCTTGCTGGTGGCATGGGCAGTGTGGGCAGTCTGGTGGAGAGGCAGGATCTGTCGCCCATGGAGCTGCGGGCACCCCTGGGCGGCGCGCGGGGTCTGCGGCAGCCTGACGGCCTGCTCCGGAAGGGCCTGAGCCAGCGCGAGCTCCTGGGCTACCTGCACGGCCCCCGATGTGAAGCGCGGCCTGAGCGCAAGTCCCCGGGGGGCTCCTGCAAACGGGACTATGAGAGCGACCGCGAGAACCGCTCGCCCGAGCGCAGCCCTCGCGGGGCCGACTTCTCCAAGAGCTCGCTGCCCGAGCGGGGCCGCTTCGACAAGGTGGGCCGGACCGGGCTGGGCAGTGCCTGTGGGTGACAGGTGTCTGCTGGCAGAGGACATGGCCACGGGTCACAGCAATGCTTCCCCAGGTGCCTCGAATGCACCCATGTCTGGGGAGCAGCGGGATGGGGCTCGTGGGTGCCGGCCTGTGGGGGCAGGGGCTCCAGCAAGAGCTGCCCTTGTACGTCCAGCATCCCTGCGGCAGGGCAGAAGCTGAGACCCAGAGGTTGCAAGGGTCTCTGGGGAGGTCCTTCCATGAGGCCTGGGGAGGGCTCTGGCTGGGCCACAGCACTGGGGGTCTCCAGAGGCAGCTGACCCCGGCTCTTGTCTTGCAGTGCCGCATCCGGCCATCGGCCTTCAAAGCGGTGGCGGGGAAGGGCCTGGTTTCCATGCAGGGCCTGTCTGCATCCAAAGGGCAGAAGCTGTCCAAAAGTAACGGGAGCCTGCACACGCTGTTGTCACCGGGCAGCTCCGGGCAGCCTGGCCCGCTACGCACCCACCTGCTGCACGCCATCAGCCTGGACGAGGGCTCCGCTGCCAGCTGCGGCTCCACGCACTTCTCCTATGTGCCCCGCTTCAAGCCAGCCCCGGGCCAGCTCAGCGCCTCTGTGGGACACATCAACCACATTGGGGGCTCTCTGGACAGGGCCTCACGAGGCCCCAGGGACCCCCTGGCACCAGAGCAGGTGCCGCTGCCCTGCAAGAGCACAGCGACGCTGAGCCGGCTGCAGAGCCCCAGGGAACCCCCGCCGCCCTACGAGTTCACGTTCTCCCTGGAGGACGTGGTCAAGCAGCTGGAGGACCGGCTGCAGGAGAAGGGTGGGGAGCTGCGTCAGCTGAAGCGCAGCCTCAGCGAGACCGAGGACCCCTTCACGCAGGTGAGGGCAGGAGGAGGCGCGGGGCAGGCAGTGCTGTGTCCCTGCCCCAGCAGGCAGCCAGGTGAGGGGTTTGGCAGCCGGAGCAGAGCAAGGGCCACTGGTGGAGGGAGCATGCCCCCTGCCCTGCACCAAGGGGGGGGGGGGGGGGGGGGGGGGGGGAGCCAGGGGG